CCCCAAAACCCCAAAACCCCAAAACCCCAAAACCCCGACTTTAACATAATACGTTGAGATTTACTTTTCCGTTAAATTTTATATTTGCGTAATAAAAATTTGTTAATTTAGCTTTATAAAATTCGAGTCAATATGGCTGGCAGAAATAAAATAAGACAATGCAGAGTTAAGAACCCTAAAAGTTCGTCTATAAATCAGAGTCAAACTACAGTCTCAAAGAGTATCTTAGAGCCCAGGCAACAAATGTGCCACAAAGAGGAAGAAGTTTTGAATAATTCAAAATCTCTAGCCATAGAAAAACCTACTCTTGATCATCAGAGAACAGTAAATTACTCAGAAAGAACGGTTGAAACTAAAAGCTTTACTGATTACCCTCATAATAACCAAAGAGAGTTGCTTACAAGCAATTCCAAGAAGACTGACCAATCCCATCATGATGAAATGTGGGATTATTATCCAAAACAAGTGCAAAAAGTTCTGAAAAAGAAGAGAATCAATAAAGAAAGTAAGCTAATGATAAAACCTATGATTTAATTATTTAACTGAACTTCCCATAAAAATGTAGTGAACCATTAACATTTTATGTAGAGAGCAAGAGCTTTAATAAAGCAAGGAAATAACATTCACCTAAAACTTCCAGGAAAAAGAAACTATAAGACTCTCTTTGCAAATCTACAAGCAGTCACTATGGCTGAAATAAAAGAAAGCTCTTATATGTTCAAGAATATGAGTGAAGAGTATTATAAACTCAAGGCTGCTGAAAGAGAAGTTCATAAAGCTCTCAAACAAAAAGGACTCTTCCTAGATCAAAAAGACTTTAACATCATGGAGGCCTTAAATGATGCCTGCTCAGAGTATTCCGATGATAAAGAAGAAAGCAAAGATTCTAAGTCAGAGGGAAAATCATGCTTTATTAGCGTGGAAAATATTGATCAACCATTGTCAATCAGTAAGCCAGATCCTCTTGCATACTCTGGGCATTTGCCTCTTAAAAATATCGGAAACTTGAATCACCTTGGCAGGAGTAGTGCCGAGAGAGAATTTCTTGAAGTACCTTCATTCAGTAATTCTGCTACTCCGAACAGTTTTACACTTGAAAAGATATCTCATCACTCTAAATATACTAATAAATCAAATCACAGCTTTGCCTCTAAAACTTCTAAAAGATTGCTATTCCAAGATGCAAAAATAGAGAGAAGACCAAATAACCCTAGAGTACAAAAAGGAGACTTTCCTTGCATTTGTAACAAAAGCAATACAATCGAGAACTATTTTCAGGGCTATGAGGTCTACCCATATGAGCCATATGCCTTACTCAACTTAGAGCCTGATTCAGACGACCAGTCGATTCTTGGAGGCAATGAATTGGTGAGATCAATATCCGCCCCAGCACATGAAACTTGTGAGTTCGAAGAAAAACTCATCGGGCCTCTTCCATTAGAAAGGCAACCATTTTCTAACAGAGTAAATCAAGAGAGACCTGCCCACAACTATCGAGACCCTTGAGATAAAATTGACATAAAAAGAATTGTCAGAATGGAGAATCATTGAGACCAAGATGAAAACAGATTCACCTATATAGACAGGAATATTTTTCCTGAAGCGTTCGGAATGAACGACGAACATATTCACATTTAAATAAGCTCCTTCGCCTTCATAATGGAGTGGAGGGCACAATATCTGTTAATGCCGAGAAACAATTTATATTTCTAACACAATTAACCAAACTATTCAATGTTCAAAGTGACGAATGGGGTTTTGGGGTTTTGGGGTTTTGGGGTTTTGGGGTTTTGGGG